CATTAACAACTTACAATCTCAAAGACACAGATTCACTGCTTTGCTATGTGGAAAACAGCGTCCACCTAAAACTGGGAAGGGCAAATTAATAGCAGGGCTGGTTTAAAATAGAAACAATGAGTTCTGGCTTATAGGCAGAAAGAAGCATCTTTCATATCAAATGCAAACTTCAAACATTAAGCACTAGTGTCTGTTTTACCTAACTTGCATATTCAACAAACGTCATGGCTTTAGTAAAATTCTGACTACCTCAAAACGGTATTATAAAAATAATAATAATATAGTTATTATTGTTATAGTATTTATAAATATTTTGTATTAGCTTTTATTTTTATAATTTCAGTTTTTATTTTATTTTTAGTAATTTTATTATGTTTGTAATTTTTTAATATATTTGTGTTAGCTTTGTTTTCAGTTTTAGTACAACTTAAAGGGTTAGTTCAGTCAAAAATGAAAATTAGGCTGCATTTCACTCACCCCCGAAGCATCCTAGGTGTATATGACTTTCTTCTTTCAGACGAATCCAGTCGGAGTTATATTAAAAATTGTCTTTGATCTTTCAAGCGTCAATCTCGTTGTCTGGTGCTCACCTATTATCGTCCCTGTTTTGATTTCAGCAAATCAGTTCGAGCGAACGCACACAACCTGATTAATATTCATGAATCCAGTAGCTCATTAATCCTTAGTGCGTTTTATATTGTTCTTATTAATTCGTATCATTATTATCTAATCAGTATTTTTGAATTCCCCCCGCCGTTCTCAAGCCCGCCCACCGCCGCTCACTCTAGCCCACCGTGTAAGACACTGTTTCGTTGTGAAAGCGAAACTACTTTGTTCGACCTTCCAAAAGAGGACACGACTAGAAATCAGTGGTTAAGTTGTATTTACAACACTGTTCCAGAACAGTTCAGATATTCAGATGTGTGCAGCACATTTTATGGAGGACTGTTTACTGATCCTGGGAGAGTAGACTACAATGCCGGCTGTTCTGACTCACAGACTGTAAGTATGTTTTCATATTTAAAGAATTAGCCACTGATGATTCAAATGCGAGTTTTGAGCAGTGTAGAGTAGCGCTTGTTGTTTGTCATTTCTCCGATCACAAATGCAGACATGGTTTTATGTTTACGTGGCGCAATGCGAAAAAAGACAGAGTAAGTCATTACAATCAGTAATTATGTCCCCACTGGATGCAACACATGCCTCGTTTATAATGGGTTTTAATGTTTTTGTCTCGTCGCGCCGGGACACGCCATCACAGTATGGTGAGGGGCGTACCATTTCCGTCATAAGCTTGAGGAAATCGGCCAATCACAACGCACTGGATAGCTGGCCAATCAGAGCACACCTCGCTTTTCAGACCGATGAGCTTTGTAAAAATCGACGCGTTTCAGAAAGGCGGGGCATAGAGGAGAAACAATAATGTACAGTATGTGGAAAACAATGTTTTTTGAACCTTAAACCGCATAAACACATTTCA